TTCTATACAGATATATTTAACATATATATTAAGGAGAACCTAAGTCCAAAATCCCAAAGCACACCTCCTGGAAAAAAATGTTTCCCTCTGCCAGAGACTCCAATTGGAAAATCATCAGCTACAGGACTTTAAATCTCAAGTTGGTCAGTATGAATGTAGGGCCCCAAAGATACAGAGTATGACACAGTTTGAATGACAGTTTCCATAGCAGAATGTTGTTTTGGGCCCCACTCAAAAGATGGTATGGGTTAGCCAATATATAGGACCAAGCAGAATTTTCAAAGAATCACAAACTCTTCAATATCTGAGGGATCCAGTTTAATGATAGTTCTCCTTTTTAGTGGTGGGGGCTGAATAGACAACAAATTTTCCTTGACTGCCTAAGGACTCAGTATTGTGAATCTACTTGCAAAGCCCCAAGAAACATTACTAGGCAAGCAGGCCACTGAATTCTGTTGAAGGTTTTCAAGCACTCTTCCTAGGAAACCAACACTTTTAAAACTGAAGCTTTTGAAAGCCAACCATCAGGACATCATGCATATATGTGAAAACTTTATAAATCAGAGTCCTTACTTATAGTGAAGGGCAGGGAAGCCTGACATGCTGCAGTCATGGGGTCACAGAGTCAGACACGACTGAGTGACTTAACAATAAATACATTAAATTCTAAACTATCTGATTTTCACAAATGACCAAGAAGATTAGGTAACCCAGAGGAGTACAACAAAACATATATGAGATGCCTTGTTACATAAATGTGAACAGATCTTGATCATCAGATGCCAATAGAATGGCAAAGAAGGTGCTGCCAATGTTCAAGTGTGTGTAATAGATTCAGTTAGAGTCACATTGTATGCAACAACTGAGATGATAGAATTGAATTTACTTGACAATAATCCACTATAAATCTTCAGCTCTTCTTAGACTTTTATACTGTGCATGCATGGCTTTTCTATACAGATCCTGCATTTCTTACTCCTATTGCTTCCTTTAAGTAATATTTAATCATGGCTGTGAATTTTTTATTCCTCCTGGGATTCTATACTCTGTGTGTGAAACCACCCAGGATGAGCCAGAGAGTCTACTGGTGGAACAATTTATGTTTCCCTAATACTTCTTTACATATGGCTGAGTTTCATCTAGCACTTATGGGACAGGAAAATACAAGCATTATTTCCTACTATATATTCAGATATGAAGGTAACACTGAGATTGCACAGAATTGGCACAAATGGCTTCATTCAAGTTTTCCCTATTCTAAACCTGGGCAAAACCTATAACACAAATCTAGATGCTGTTCCCTTCCATGGGTCCTGTAGAATAGTAATTTGGACATCCATATCTACCAGAGTTATAAAATTTGATTCTCTCTCCTCACCAAAATTCTCCAGCCTACTCAGATAAATGCATATGACATCTGATCTCCATTAGGGACAGAGAGGACTCAGTGTCATTTCTAATTATTTTTCTACTTATAGCAGATATGGTTGAGTAGGCCAGCTATTACATTCTTTATTTACAATAACTGTTTATCCAGCCCTCTCATATCCCAAGCCAACTACCAAAAGTTCTAAGGATTCTCCAGTTTGTGCTTAGGGTGCTTGCGCTTTCCTTCCTTTAACTCTGGGTCCCTGTGTGTCTCCGTCACTGTTATATGAAAGAATACAAAAACTTCTGCTTACTTAGGATTAATCTTAGGACTATTTGTTGTAGCGGAGTGGACCTGAGGTTAATGACTAGATTGAGGAACAACTTTCAACTGGAGTTGAATTATCAAGGAATAATGCTTGAATATATTAATGCATATGTATAGAATCTAGAAAGATAGTACTGATGACTCTACTTGCAGGGCAGCAAAGGAGATGCAGACATAAAGAACAGACTTTTGGACACAGTGGATAAGGAAAGGGTGGGATGATTTGAGAGAATAGCACTGAAACATATTGCCATATGTAAAATAGATAGCCAGTGGGAATTTGCTGTATAACACAGGGAACCAAAAGCTGGTGCTTTGTGACAACCTAGAGGGGTGTTCAAGAGGGAGGGGACATATGCATACCTATGACCAATTCATGTTGATGTATGGCAGAAGCCATCATATTGTAAGTTACCTTCTAATTAAAAATTAAAATTAAGAAAAAAGAAATAACACATGATTACAGCCTGTCTTTGTATGTACTTCCTGGTACTCATCTTGTAACAATTTCCTCAATTACTCCTAGTTAACAGCTTATTATTCACAGCAACAGCTACAGTCAGACTTATCAGCAGTTTTACTCTAAATATCCAAGTCCCCTTACCACAGGGTGACAGTAAGTGGACACAGGGCACGTATATACACAGTAGATAGCATTAGAGGAAAGGAAACTACTTTAATTAACTTAATCTTTTAAAATGGGCAGTAAATATGTCTTCCTCTTATTGTAGAAGAAGACATTTATTATATTGAAGTAAGCATTCCTGCTCATTGCTATAGAAGGAACCACTATTCCATCTCAAAAAGATGTTTGTTATTCAAACATCCTTCAAACAAAACTGGCAAACCAAAACCAATCATTCCTTTGCTTGCAAAATGTAGAGGAATCCATACAGAACTGTCCTCTAACAGTAAAACTGTTGGAAATATGCCATCTTCAAACTCACTAGATAATGGCAAACATTTCCAACAGAACTCCCAGCAATGTATGGGATCTCTCACTTTTTTTATCTGATTGACAGCAAATATTTTTCAACTTCATGCATGTTGTTGATCTGATGAATAGAAAGGTGTATATCATAACAATTTCCACTTTACAGCATGATCTTTTTTCAAATTAGAGGATTCATATTTTAATATGACAGTATTTATCAAAATTTCCATCAATATCTGTCAATATGATAGTTTCTAAACAATTTTTTCACCATTTCCATAGGGAAAATATAAACACTTTCTTCTACTTTATTCTAATATTTTATAAATGCTACTTCCTAAATTGAATACTAACTTTTTATCCAATCAGAACTAGTTTTGTGTGCAAGGTATGAAGGGATTTGAGTATATTCCCCGGCAAATGGAAAATAGATTAATCCTGCACTATTCCCAGGTGGCTCTGTATGTGAATGCATGCTAAATTTCTTCAGTCATGAAAACTCTTTGTGACCCTGTGAACTAGCCTTCCAGGTTCCTATGTCCATGGAATTCTCCAATGCTAGAAAATGAGAGTGGGTTGCCATGCCCTCCTCCAGGGGATCTTCCCAACTCAGGGATTGAACATGCATCTCTTACGTCTCCTGCATTGGCAGCTGGGTTCTTTACCACTAGCACAGGTGGCTATAGTGGAAAAGAAAACACCTGCAATGCAAGAGAAATAAGAGATGTGGGTTTGATCCGTGAGTCAGAAAGATTCCATTGGAGAAGGAAATGGCAACCCACTCCAGTATTCTTGCCTGGAGAATCCCATGGAGAGATGAGCGTGGGGGGGTACCATCCTCAGTGTCACAAATATTTGGACATGACTGAAGTGACTAAGCAGACACACATGCACATTTATCATTGAAAAAAATATTCTAATTGTATTCATCTAAAATGTAACCTATATTCAACTTTCAGTTTCTTATAGGCAAATATCAGGTATTTCACTGAAATATTTGATATTCCTCCCTCTGTCCTTGTAACCAATTATTATCAAGAGTTTCCAGAGAGTCCTGGTTAAAAAAAATGAAACAAATAATGTTGTGCCTCTGCTGAAAATAACTGAATGGTTCTCCATCACACACAGTGTAAAAGTTAAATTCCATTCTTCTCCCAGATTCGTGTCACTTCTCTGAACTCACTTCTTTGATATTCTCTACCTTGTTCACTCAGTTCCAGCCATGTTGGTATTCTCAATATGGCTTGAACATGTCAGGCCTACTTTTGCCATGGGTCTCAGCACTTGCTGTCCCTCTTGCTGGAATGCTCCTTCCCTAGACAGCCACAGGGGTAGTTCTCTCAGTGCCTTCAGGTTTTTACTCAAAAACTGTGTTCTCAGTGAGGAGCTCTCTGGACTCCCTATTTATCCAATTTCAGCCTCCTCCCTGGAATTCTAGTTCCCTCATTCCGTGCTTTATTTTTTTCTTTCTTAACATTTATCAGTGTGAAAATACTTTATATTTTACTTTTTGTTTCTTGGCTACTGTCTGTCTCCTACACTACAGTCAAAGTTCCATGAGGGTAGGACTACTTTATCTTTTTTATGACCATATCTTAAGCTCCTGTGTAGAAGACTGCCTGGGATTGGTGAGATGAAGATAAAGCAAATAAAATAAAAAGCAAATGGGGTAAAGTAAGACAAAGAAGGGCTAAGCTACCAATGCAAATGCTTCCAGGGGACATCTGGGCATTTTATAACAGTGAAGCAGGCCATCTGGGGGCATGGCCCACTCGAGAGAATATTCTGAGTTTAAAATGGGCTGAGACCTTCCTCAGAGTCAACTGCTTGGAATTCCTTGCTGGAATGTGGGCCCTCATCCCTTGATCTATTGTTTGTTTTCTCAGGCAAGCCAGGAATATAGATTTTTGAAATGTGAAATCCCCCAAATGTCTATATAGCTAATTTTAAAATGGAGAATGATAAAAATATGAAGATCAAGCAAAATATGACAGTGGGCTGAAACTGGTCCATGAATGGCCTCCAGGTATTTGCTACATTGAATTATGTGATGTATGAAAGAAAACCTATCCCTGCTCTGGTGAGGTGGGTTTATCTTGTGGAATTCTTGAGCCAAACAGCTTCAGATCATGTTGGGGGAGAGAATGAACTGGAATTACCAACTTCTTTCCACTCTGGGAAGCTCCCCGCCTCCCCGTCTGCCTGTTATGCCTGGAGTTATTAGGCAGAAGAGACACCAGAATTGTTTCTTTGAGGCCAGTGAAGAGTGTGAAGTAGGAAAATCAGAGAGAGTTTTGAAGTTTTTTCCACAGCTGAACTGGGAGAAGGAAAGAAAGACAGAAGGACAAAGACCCATGTATTGGGACACCATACTTCAAAGGGAATTTATTGGGAGTTACCACACCCGCTTCCCACCAATCACTTATGTGGCGCGATACAGTCAAAGGACTTAGTTATACAAAGTCACATCTCCCCATTCAACTGCCCATGCCACCTATCTCACCTGGAAATAGAACTGCACACATTTCCAGCACAGTTCCCTGTGTGCTTGAAGTGGGCAAGACTAGTCAGGAGGTACCTGTGAAGGGTCAGTAGGCACTGGTTTTGTTGGGATATTGCCAGAATGGGGTTTCTGGAGGCAGCAGACATCCACCTGGTGAAACACAGGCTGGGGGGACAGGGGCGGGATACCTGTGGTTTCAGGCAGGGGCTGAGAGATGGAGAGTCAAGTAATCCCCATGACCTGGAGAGAAACATTAAACTCAATCCTTTGTTGCCTCTCTTCTGTAAGGAGGCAAAGCCTAGCCCTGGAGGATGAAGAACAGTGAGATGAGTGCAGTATCTGGGTCAAGCAAGTTTCCATTTTTCTGGATAAAATGCTTTCCAAATGCAAGGTGTCACATCTCTTATGTTCTGAGAACTCCACTAACTCATTCCTGAAAAAAACCATTTATTCAGTGTAGGGGAAGTGAACCAAGAACTTCAGGTCTGAGATTTACTGCCCCGGGGTCCTCTGGAAAATATGAGGAAACTGCCCACAGACCCCTGCTATGGAGCACCATGCAGTGTGTTTAAGCTGAGGGCTGGGCTCTGCTCAGCAGATGAGGCATGATGTCCCTGACATAATAAAAGTCTTTTAAGTATAAACTTGGTTCCTGCTTAACTCTTGAGACAGTCCTGTCAAAATTCCCCTCTAGGGAGGCTCCAAACATGTGGTTTGTTTGTTGCCACATCCTTTGTGCACAGAGCTAGGGAGGGCAACTTGGATACTGCCAGAGGGCCTGGTTTTCTTGGGTCTTTCCGTCTCTCATCGGCTCCACACCTCATACCCCCTTTTCTCTATTCTCACTCCCTCTGTCAGTCTTCCTTCTTAGAATTCCTCCTTCCTCAGTGTCCCTTCCCTTCTGGAGTATCCCTCTAGCCTCTCCTCAGATCTCTGCCAACTTTGTCTTTCTCTCCATTGCTCTGCACCTCTTCTAAACGCCTTTGTGTCCCTCCTTACTCAATTTATCCTGTCCATTTTCCTCTCAGCCCCAAGATTTCACTCTCCCTCTGTTATTCTTCACCCTCTTCCAGTTAGCTGCCTCCCACTCTTAGGTCATCCCTCCCCTTAGGAGCCTCTCCATTTCCAGTCCCTTCCCACCTCCTTTCTTAAGCAGCCACCTTCCCTTTCCCTTTTCCCCACAGCCCATCTCTAGTTCATTCTCCTCTCCTCTCCCTAACCCAAACCAGCTAAGTCCTATTCCATGTTTATTTGACTGATTATGATACTAGCTGAAATTTATTCACAGCCTGAATTTACAGCTGCTCCTTCCTTTCATGTTCCATCCACCAAACACACCCAACCTTTTCAACATGACAAATTCCTTACACACAGCATGTCATGACTACATACATTTGTATTTCTTAGAACAAGACAATAGTTATGCTGGCAAAGATGTTGAATCAACATGGACCCTAAAGTTTTCAATACACTGAAAAGTAACATCATCTTGCATGTCTACAAAGTACACATTTGTTTTCACAAACGTGGCAAAGTTCATCCTGACAGTTAGGACTTTTTCACCAAATCATAGACATAGATATGGAAATCATCATCAAACTTGATGAAATACACAGAGGGTTTGGCTTCCACTTGGTGAATGACCATTCCGATTCGTTTGGAGCCATCTTCTTTGGTATATTCCACATGTTTACCTATCAGACCATCTACAACTCCTCCTGGCTCCCTTTCTGCAAGAGGAGACTCACTGGACTCTGGCATGATACGGAGGTCTCCTTCTTTATAATCATCTAGAAGTTGGTACATGTACAAGACAGGATCTTTCTCATAGGTAATGTAAAACCAGGCTTTCATGATCGGTGCTTGGGCTAAGACCATTCCTCTCCATTCATCCTTAGAACCATGCTCATCCTCAAACATATGTTCCACAGCTTTACCAATTATGGTATTTGCAAGGTTTGCATCACTGACTTGAGTTGATGCCACCCTGTCAGAAAGAATTTTAAGAGACAAAACTCTTTCATCTCTGCGAAGTTCCAGTCCATAGACACAGTCAATTCCATCATATTTCACCAGATAAAGAGAAGGATTTATAGGCACCTGATCCAGAACGGTTCCTTTCCACTGAGTGATGGGTTCATCACCTTCCTTCCATCCATGTGAAATTCTGCAGCCCACAATGTTCCTGCGGGGCTGGGAGGAAGGTCTGCCTCTCTGCTTCTTTTGGGAGGCTTTTTTCTTCATCATGTTTGCAGACCCAGTGGCCTTTCCTGCAACAGCCCTGGTTTGCTGCCCTTCAGCCTCCTGTGAGTTGGGGGTTTTCATGTCTGCAGGAGGAGGAGAGAAGATAAGAGAGGAACATTCAATATGCCATAAGGTGAAATTCTGCCGACAGCGACGTCTCCATGTGCCCCGCACCAGCGCCTAAAATTTCCCCATGAGCCTGGCAGTAATGCTGGAAATCCTGGCTGTGTGCCTGAAAGCGCTCTCCCTTCTAGGTACCCTGAGGCTGCGGTGAAAGGCGGCAGAGGCAGCGGCAGCGGCAGTGGTGCTGCCTGGGGTTAGGAACTCTGCAGGAGGGGGCAGACTACGTCCTTGTTCAGAGACCTCAGCCTCTGTCACCGCCACTGGCGCCCACTCTGAATCCCCTGCAAAACCCCTATCCCTCCACAGCCCTGACCCATATGCCCTCACTCACTGTCGTCCTGCTCAGAACATCCCAGTAGTCTGCTACTCCCATGCCCTCTGTCTACCTCCACTCGCTTTCTTGGCCCCCAGTGCCCTCGCCTCCCTGTGCTCATCTTCAATGTCTTGCCTGCTTCCTAACGCTATGTCCCTTTCCTATTGCCCATTGCACTCCCCCTTCCCACCCTAGCCTCACCCGGCGCCTGCCTCCACCCCTTATCTCTGGCAGGAATCCATCCCATCCCCCTTCTCTGTCCTGGCGCCCACCAATGGCCTTTCCTTTCCTGGCGTTCACCGCCCGGATCTCAGGCTTCACGTGTGCAAATCGGACACCTCGCAGCTTCCTTTTCGGTGAGTCTGTGTGTAAGCAGGATAGGCAGGCGATGAGCTGGGTGCTTGCAAGAGCTGGGAGGGGAGGATCGTTCAGGGAGGAGCTAGTTCAAGAGGGCGGGACTAGGGTAGGTGAGGAGGTAGTGGTGTTTTGAGAGCTGTATTCTGCCTCCTTGTTGTGGTGGTTGTCCCCTCTGAGACATATGCCTCCATCAGCTGCTATTGATGCTGTATTTTCTCCCCTCTTTCTGTACAGGACTGGGATCTTATTTTCTTGTTAATGAAGTGTGACCCCTTTTCTCCTCAACCCTATGCTGCCATCATCCCTTGCCTTGGAGGCACTATAAGCTGCTCCTCTCCTTCCAAATTTAAATCTCTGGAAATGATAGGTGGTCCTTTCCTCCGCAGGTTCTCTGAACCCCGTCAGATTCTCTAACTCTAGCCCTCAGCTGCCCTGTTATAATGCCTCTTCATTTTCCACAGATTCTTAACATTTTTTCAGACACACAAAATTCATGCAACACATATATGGGTACAGAAATCCTTATATTCATACACATATTTGTGTGCATATATATTTTTCTATGTATTTCTGAAATTCATTTTCAAAGATACATAATCTTAAATACACACCTCTATCCAATCACATAACACATAGACATTTTTGGTATACAACTACACAGATATACATATAATAAAAATTTCTCCAAAGCAGATGTAGCATTTTGTTGTGTTAGAGAGGGCCCTTGAGAGTTAGGAGACCAAACCATTCAATCTTAAAGGAAATAAATATTGAATATTCGTTGGAAGGACTGATGCTGAAGCTCCAAATAAGTAGAATAGGCATTGTGTAATTAAAAAAAAAGATTTTTAAATTGCTTTTATTTTTAAACTCATTTTATGTTAATTGGAGTATAATTAGTTTACAATATTTTGATGATGTTTTGCCATACATCAACATAAATCCACCATGGTTATACATGTATCTTCCTGATCCTGAATCCCCTCACACCCCTTCCCCACCCTGTCTCTCTATGTTTTCCCAGAACACTGGCTTTGGGTGCCCTGCTTCATGCATCAAACTCGCACTAGTTATCTATTTTACATACGGTAATATATATGTTTCAATGCTATTCTTTCAAATTGGTCAGAATGGCCATAATTCAAAGGTCTACAAACAATAAATTCTGGAGAGGGTGTGGAGAAAAGGGAATCATTTTACGCTGTTGGTAGGAATGCAAACTGGCACAGCCACTATAGAGAACAGTGTGGAGATTCCTTAAAAAACTGGAAATAGAACTTCCATACGACCCAGCAATCCCACTGCTGGGCATACACACTGAGGAAACCAGAATTGAAAGAGATACATGTCCCACAATGTTCATCACAGCACTGTTTACAATAGCTAGGACATGGACACAACCTAGATGTCCATTGGCAGACGAATGGATAAGGAAATCGTGGTACATATACACCACAAAATATTACACAGGTATAAAAAAATAATGCATTTGAATCAGTTATAATGAGGTGGATGAACCTGGAGCCTATTACAGAGTGAAGTAAGTCAGAAAGAGAAACACCAATATGGTATATTAATACATATATTAATGTATGTTAATTAATATAGAAATTAGGAACATAGAAAGACTGTATAGGAATTTAGACATATAGGACTTTAGAAACACTGTAATGACAATCCTAAATGCAAGGCTGCAAAAAAGTGAAGTAAAGTGAAGTTTCTCAGTCGTGTGTGACTCTGCGAACCTGTGAACTATAGCCTACCAGGCTCCTCTATCCATGGAATTCTCCAGGCAAGCGTACTGGAGTGGGTTGCCATTTCTTTCTCCAGGGAATCTTCCCGACCCAGGGATCAAACGCGGGTATCCTGCATTGCAGGCAGATGCTTTACCCTCTGAGCCACCAAGTTAACATTTTTTTATTTTTTTAATTTAATTTTTATTTTATGCTGGGGTATACTTAATTTACAGTGTTTGTTTCAAATATACATCAAAGTGGTTCATTTACACATACATTTATCCATAATTTTAAAGAAGAAATTTTTGGACTAGGTGGGAGAAGGTGAGGGTGGGATGATTTGAGAGAATAGCATTGAAACATGTATAATATCACATGAAAAATAGATAACCAGTTCAATTTTGATGCATGAAGCAGGGCACTCAAAGTCGGTGCTCTGGGACAACCCAGAGGGATAAGGTGGGGAAGGAAGTGAGAGGGAGTTTCTGGATGGAGGGACACATGTGCACCCATGGCTGATTCATATTGATGTATGGCAAAAACCACCACAATATTGTAAAGTAATTATCCTCCAATTAAATTAAATTAATTTAAAAAAGAAAAACTGATACTACTGTTTTAAAACTGTGATAAAAGAAAGTCTTATTTGACTTTTAATGTTAGGGACCAGTACAGAATCCCTTTTTGCCCATTTAACATTAAGTAGTGTAGTAATATCAAATCCTGTTTCAATGCTATTCTCTCAAATCATCCCACCCTCTCCTTCTTCTACTGAATCTAAAAGTCTCTTCTTTATGACTGTTTCTCCTTTGCTGCCCTTTATGTTGGATCATAGGTACAATCTTTCTGAATTCCATAAATATGCGTTATTTGTCTTTCTTCTTTCTGACTCACTCAATGAACGTTGAGTTTGAGCAAGCTCCAGGAGATGGTGAAGGGCAAGGAAGCCTGGCATGCTGCAGTCCATGGGGTCACAAAGAGTCGGACACAACTGAGCAATAACAACAAAAGGTTAAAGTTTCCAAGCTGAAAATAGCACATTATTTTTGTGTGTGATTCCAATTTGTTATAGATCTTTCTAGTTCTACATAAAGTGAGATTTATTTTTATCTTGTTTGTATTTTTTGTTTCTTATAGTTTTTTCTACAATATCCCATAATTCTTTAAAATGTCAATATTATGGTGTTATATAAGTAGAAAAGCAATCTCAAGCTCATTTTTTTTAAAAAGTAATTTATTGGGTAATTATTTGAATAATCTAATAAGTGTCAGATTCAGTTCAGTTCAATCACTCAGTCATGTCTGACTCTTTGCGACCCCATGAACCACAGCACACCAGGCCTCCCTGTCCATCACCAACTCCCAGAGTCCACCCAAATCCATTTCCATTGAGTTGGTGATGCCATCCAACCATCTCATCCTCTGTCGTCCCCTTCTCCTCCTGCCCTCAATCTTTCCCAGCATCAGGGTCTTTTCAAACGAGTCACCTCTTTGTATCAGGTGGCCAAAGTATTGGAGTTTCAGCCTCAACATCAGGCCCTCCAATGAACACCCAGGATGGATCTTTAGAATGGACTGTGGATCTCCTTGCAGTCCAAGGGACTCTCAAGTGTCTTCTCCAACACCACAGTTCAAAAGCATCAGTTCTTCAGTGCTCAGCTTTCCTTATAGTCCAACTCTCACATCCATACATGACTACTGGAAAAACCATAGTCTTGACTAGATAGACCTTTGTTGGAAGTGTCAGATTAGGCTTACTCTAAGTGTTCAGTGTTATGGGCTGAATTGTTTTCCCTAGAAATTTGAATGTAGAAGTCTTCACCCCCAGTACCTCAGAATGTGAATATATTTGGAATTAGGGTCTTTGCAGTGGTATAGTGAAATGGGATTGCAAGGTAGGCTTTAAAGTAATATAACTTGTGTCCTTATCAGAACAGATTATAACTCATGGAAGAAAGACCATGTGGAGATAGAAAAGATGACCATCTCCAAGGCCAAAGAGAGAGATTTCAGAAAAGAATCAACCCAGCCAACACCTTGATCTTGGACTCGTAGCCTCCAGAACTGTGAAAAAAATAAATGCATGTTGTTTAAGTCACTGAATCTGTAGTACTTTTTATGACAGCACTAGTAGGGCTTCCATGGTGGCTCACTAGTAAAGAATCCACTTGCCAAATCAGGAGATGCAGGATTGATTCCTTGGATAAGGAAATGGCAACCCACTTCAGTATTCTTGCCTGGGAAATCCCGTGGACAGAAGAGCCTGTTGTTCTAGTCCATAGAGTCTGAGCTTGTGGACTTTTTTTTTAAAATCACCATTTGGTTTCTTACAAAGCTACTTTTCTTGATGACATTTTGGCAGGAAAGTACTATTCAAGATAGCACAATTTTTTTTTACAGTACTTAGACTTCTAATAACTCAGCTTTTGTTGCAGTGAATGACTCAATGGCTAGAAGTCACAGAGCCTTGAAGAGGGGGCCATTCTAGAGCTGTTCTTTGTGCATAACTCTAGGTTTAAGCTGTGAAGAAAAGGTTGCGTATTTGAGATTTTTTTTTTAAGGTTGCATATTTGAGATTTTTTTTTAACTGTAATGTATGAAAAAACAGGGCTAGTTGACTCCACTATTCTAGCTATATATATTACCTCTTCTTCCATCTGAACTCACATTGACCTACCCCAGTGTGGCTTGGGAAATGGGTTGTGCTATGGAGTGAATTGTGTCCCCTTTCCTCCAAATTTATATGTCTAGGCCCTAACTCCTGATGTGATGAAATTTGGAGATAGGGTTTCTAAGTGATAATTTGGGTTATGTAAAGTCATGTAAGTGGGACACTCGTAATAAGATTAATGACCTTATAAGAAGAGAAAAGGCCACCAGTGCTCTGTCTCTACAATTCAAGGCACAGTGAGAAGGCAAGCCTTCTGCAAGCACCTTGATCTTAGACTTTCAGTCTCTAAAATTGTGACAAATGCATTTTTGTTATTTAGGCCACCCAGCCTATGGTATGTTTTTACGGCAGCCCAAGCAGAATAATACAGGTTGTGACCTTGGCAACGGGCCGTGAGTAATTTTCTCTCCAGGTCAATACTACAAAATGTAGTATTTCCTGTCATATCAATAAACAAGGATGTCACAGCCATTCATGATTCTGGCCCTCCAAACATGAATTTCTGAGCCCAGGAAGAACAATACCTGCTATCTGGCAGCCATTGAACTGCCGCAATGAGCTGCTGCCAGTCCTTATGGTGAACAAGGAATTAAAGATGTGAATAACCCAATTGTATGATGCTGGCCCCAGATAGTGAGACAGTCAATTCCTAGGCAGGTTGATAAGAAGTCTGGGGGTCCCCAAGGAGAGAAGGGTCTGGAATTCTCAAGGAGGAGGAAAGGACAAACATTCTTTTCCCCCTCTACATTCCTTAGTCTTAGTCACATAAAACATGTTTTATCTTTAAGCTTGAAACTGATGATTACACAATAAACAATTCAGTTTAAACTCTGTACTAAGGATTATATAACAACAATGTACCCTGCTTGAGGACAGTTTCTCCTTCCTGAAAACCTTCTGGATAATCATGCTATCTTAAAATGTAAATTATGGGAGTGGGTCTAGTAAGATCTTTACAACCTCCAGACATTATTTTGTTTGATTGTAATAAC